TTTGAGCAGTTTTTAAAGCTTTTTTTAGCGAGTTTTTAACGAGTTAAAGCTTGTTATTTAACTCCTCCGGTGTTTCCCGCAGGATCACCTGATGTTCCCCCGGATGCTGATGAAGTTGGTGAGCCTCCGGACGCTGAGCAGCGTCCACTCTGAGCAGGTTTTCGCCCTCCGGCTGCAGGATAAGAAGCTCCCCCCGCTGCTCTCTGAGATCTGGGACGTGAACGAGTGACTCCGAGGCTTTTTCAACTCTCAGACCCCACGGGGCTTCCAGAAAAAGGCCAGAATCCTCTCAACCGTTCTGGTCCAGGATTGGCCGATGCTTTGAGATTATTCTATAGAATAACAGACTGTTGAATATCTTTGGGTTTGAGATTATTCTTTGAGATTATTCTAAAGAATAACAACACTGTCGAACAGCTTTGGGTTTGAGATTATTCTTTGAGATTATTCTAAAGAATAACAAGACTGTCGAACAGCTTTGGGTTCACGGGGAGAAAAACCTGAACACAGAGTGTTCTCTGAAAAACTTTCATATGTTTGTTTTTTTTCTTCTCCTTTTTGTGTAGATTCTGACAGGATTGTGGTTAAGTTCCAGCATTTGGCTTTTCAGAGAAGTTATCTCTGATTTATACGGTGGCTGAGAAGTGCAAAACACATTTACAATAAAAGAAAGAAAACGTTGAAAAATTAAAAAACAAAATAACATTGTAAGGTACACATTCACAATTAAAGAAACACATCCATCCATTTTGTTAACTGCTTATTCCCAAATCGGTGAAAAAACAATATAGCATTTTAAGAAACAAATTCATTTTTTAAGGAAACAAACATTTTTGGAAAAAATTGTTTCTTAAAATGTTATGTTTTTTTAATTCGTAGATGAGTTTTCTGAACTTTAAATGTGTATCCTAGAATTTTATTCAACTTTTTAAAATCATAAGGTGTTTTTTAAATTGTAAATGTGTTTTGCACTTCTCAGCCACCGTAGATTTAACCTCTTTTTACTAATGAAAATCAGGAAGCACAGAGCAGGTTTGACTCAGAGGGATCACAGATTCAGATTGGGATGGACAGAGTTGGCCTTGGTCCACTGTCCACTCAGTGAATATTTGGTTAAAATGGCAGGCCATGCAGTTGCTGTTTTGTCTTGTGATTTGGCATCAAAAAAGAGTTTATTTTCCCTCTGGAGTAAATACAGAAGTCTGGAGTCGGTTAGCTGCTCAGGTAAAGTAATGTGAAGTAAACCTCCAGAAAGTGGAAGCGTCTTTCATTTTTGTCTTATTTCTTCCAAGTGCACAAGGGACCTTTCTGGTCATTTATAAATGCCCACTAACTAACTTTAATGTAAATTGTATTATTTATTTTCACACAAATGTATAGAGTCTACAAATGAAAATCACCCAGAGAATGTACAATCACATCCTGAAACTCTGCAGGTAGTTGGCTGTCATTTACAGAAAACTGAGGATTCTTTTATTATTTTTTTTGGACTCTGTCCACTGGTACCTTCATATAGGTAAAGCTAAAAGGTTTTAATTTCCATAACTCAGAAAACTAACATTGTGACCTCTTCTTTCAATTGAATGAGATCCTATTCTGACAGTTTTCCCACATAACCAAAGCAGAAGTCACTGTGTAGGTGACCTGTACTTTAACTCATTTCACAGCTAAAACAAAGTACTATTCATTTAAATTTGAGCTCGTTTTCATAGTTGAAAGCTTGTTGAACTTCAACAAATGTTTCAGCAAATAGTTTTTGATACAATATTCATACTGAGACAAAAACGTTGTCTTGTCTGGAAATGAACTTGAGTTAAAGGTCTGTTCTGGGCTTAATAAATACTCACCATTAGCAGCTTTAACTGGTCGGTTTCTGGAAGATCTCACCAATAAATATACCAAAATCCATGTATTTGAGAAGAGGTAAGCAGGACAGTAGAAGCCTTAGAAGTTTTGGTCTTACTAATTCACAGAATTACTCTCATCAAGCTTTTTTTATTCTTCTTCATCCTCTTCATCAAGTGAGGATGCAGCACAAAGTCAACTTTATAATTCCACACTCCTTCTAATTCCTCTATAAATAAATGGTTTTATTTAAACGGTTATGAGGCAGCAGTTGAAGAATAAGATTTTCATTGAGTTTTTTAACTCTAAACTAGTCAAATTCACCACTTCTGTCACAGCTAAAACAGGCTAGTTTAAAGACTCATAAACAAGTGGTTTTCCATTTCCATTTTAACTAAATTAAACAAGGAGAGGGATATTTGGGATATTTTGTCATGATTTTTAAACTGAGCTGTTACTGTTTTTTCTGTTTCTGTTTTTTTTTTAACCTGAAAATGTAAGAAATCAGCTTTTTTTTGGGGGGGTTTAATCTCCTCACCTGTTTGGACCTCAAGAATAAAGTAAAATTCATACTAAATGACAGGACACATTTTGAATGGGGAAAATGTGTTCATTATAATGTTTGTTAGTCAGATTTGAGCCTGTGACCTGTTCAAAAATCTGAAAGATGATGGATTAAATCATGTTTGTTTTTGCTCTCCAGCACATTTATGATTTAAACGGCTGATTTTGTTTGATTTTGATGCATTTTTCCCTTTCTTCTGCATGACGCCTCAGTGAATAGGAATTAGGTTTAGCTGTATTTCTAACACTGGCCATCACGATGTTGACATTGTGTTTGCATAAGGCTATTCCTGTTTGGAAAAAAAACTGCAGTTCAAACAACAGCCTGAGGTTTATTCTCCTCTTTAGCTGCTTTAGAAGATAGAGCATAGACCATAGACCAAATATCAGAGACTTGAAGAAGCAACAAAAGAGAGAAAATGTTCCCCTCCTGTGTGAGAATGCACAAAAGAAAAATCTGCTCTCGTCTGGCGTTTTTCTGACCACTTTTTATTAATCCAAATGCCTTTCTGCCCAAACTAATCCAGCCTTTGTTTCTGACACGCTTTTACAACCTCATTGCTGCTCACCGGTGTATTTCTGTTTGGTTGAGAAAAAGCTTTTTCAGAAGAGATTGCAAACACAAAGCTGATTTATTTGATTTTTTTGGGGAAGTTTTCTGTGTCCATTTGCAAAGAGAATGTGAGATTTGCCCTGTTTTTTTGGTTAGAAACTGGCAGGTTAATACGGCAAAACAACAATGTAAATGTCACAGTGTGTTGTTCTTTAATCAACTCAAGAGGAATCAGTTTTTTTGGATATTAAAGGTTTTTCTGTATATGTTAATGTTGTAGGTATCGAGGTTAATTGTATTGTATATACTGTAATTGTAACTTCTGATGTCATTTAATTCCTGTCATCAAAGGGTGACTCTGTAAACATTGAAATATAGAAATGCAAACCTATTTTAATACTTGTAACTCCTGAAGACCTTCTGTTTTGTATGTACAGTGAATTAAAGCTCTGCTGTAGTGCTGATGTGTTCTGGAGCTGAAACATGCTTTTATCAGTCTTCTTATATTTAACATGTTGGCTTATGAAGAAAAAGTATTTTACACGCTACACTTTAATGAGTTTATATTTGAGTTAAAAGTAGAGATGCTTTCTAAATTTGGGGTCATTCTCTCAAAGCAATAAGAAAATACTAATTCCTGGCACGGGGTAATGAAAGAATCCTGATTGTGTGAGAAGTTTAGGTCCATAAACAACATAAACCAACATGATATACATGCAAAAATCCACATAGTCTTAAATAATTTTACAGAATAGTTCAGTAATGCATGATGTGTTCGGCATCATTTAACGGAAAAAAGGTTATCTTATTGTAAAGACAGATTTTAAATGACTTAAATCTAAATCAAATGCATACATTCTACTTATAAACCTGGTTCCATGACTCAGTCATGTTAAAATATTTTTGTTTAACTGGCAAGTAAGACCTTCAGCCTTCGGCCGACATGCAATATTTCCAATTTTTAGTATGTATATAAATTATTGAATGAATAATGTATGTCTGTGAGTGGGTGCTTAAGTTTATCCTATCCTTTTAACCAAATATTTAAAAAATAGTATTAGCAATAAAGGCGTCTAAATTGAGTTATCTTTAAGTTTGACCTTAGTAATTAATTCAGGAGCTGGTGGTTAGAAGAGCCATATTTAGTCTGTGCCATCAGGAGATAAAACACCATAAAATTAAACACACTGATAAGTTAGAGGGTAGTAAGGAGAGCTTATTTATTTTTATTTATGGCTTCCGTTTAGGTCGAGCTCTTAGTTTGCGGAACTCCCTGCAGACTGATGATGATGATGATGATGATGAGGAAGAGGAGGAGGAGGAGGAGGAGGAGGATGTTGTGAAGGAAGGCAGGTTGTAGCTGACCAACCCCTTCTTTCACCGCCCATAGAGGCGGACACACGTTTCCCCATCATTTACTATGCAGACAACCAACTGCACGGACCCACAGGCTAAAGTTATCCGTCGTTTCCATTTCTATTTCCAATGGTCCACCGCAAACGTGGGGAAATAAGGCTGAGCTCCCACAGACGTGGCTAGCTAACAGCCGGCCGTTGGTTAGCTTTAGCGGCTAACGGCTAACAACCAGGTAAGAATAACCGCCCTCTGTCTCTGACCAGTTTCAAACGATACTCTCCTCAATTGTGGTGTATTTTTTGCTTAAAGCCGCCCTTTATCTCGGCCACCACGCGCAGTCTGGGACAGGTTTTTATTTATGAGATAAATGTGAAAAAGCTACCGCTAGCGCTGAGCTAGCTAGCTAACGGGCAGTTAGTTGCCCGTTAACGGGCAGTTAGTTAGCTGGCTAGCTAGCTAGCTTGCTTGCTAGCTAATCCGCCCGTGACGTAGGAGAGCAGAAGGCTGTCAGAGGAGGCGAAGGGATGCTTGGTCGAGGTGGAAATCGAGTTTGAACCGATGTTTGACGTCTTGTTAGGAAAAATAAAACTCGGAACACGACCTGGAGGCAGGTAGGTGTCTGTGTTTGGGCTGTTAGCGGGGGCTGGCGTCGCCTTATGTCCTGTTATTGTTGTTGTGAATTATGGCTCTGACCGCCAACGTCCTTCTGGGTTTTCTGTGTGTGGAAACCAGCAGCATTATTCCCGATACACCTGGTGACCAGATCCGTGCTGTCCAGGGCCGTTTACCGGACAAAACACGTGTCCTTGTGAGTCCTTCAGCCATCACATAGTTTTTTATCCACGTACGAGCTTCTGACATGTGTCAGACTGCATCCATACCGAGAAAAAGGGCCCTGAACCGAGGTGTTGTTTGGTATTTATCTCATATATTATCTTATAAAACCTGCTTCCACACAGCAAAGGTCAGTTATGAGGGTTATTTTTATAAATAGCAATGCTAGCATCATCTTAATTGATCATAAAGGCTAATCTGATGGCTACTGGACAGATAAATGTAGTTAATATGTACTCAATTTTAAGACTATTTCCAATTATTATGTAATGTTCTTTGACTTTGACTTGTCTCTGGTCGTATTCCATTTGATGTGTCAGTGTTTGACCCTGATATGAACTGTTACCCCCCCCCTCAGCTATCACAAGGGAAAAATGGACCTTCAGGCTGTTATATAGATATTTATGTCCCGGAGAGACTGAGGGCATCACAGACAGTCCGACTCATTCGGTTTTTGCTTTAATTTGAACTTGAGGCTAAATCTGTGTGAATTTTTGCCAGAATCAGAATCAGAAATACTTTAATAACCTCAGAGGGAAACTATGTCTGTTCACATGTTCATATATCTGTCTCTGTTTAGATGGTTTTTACAAAATGGAGCTTGTTTTTTGTCTTCTTTAAGATAAAACCGATCAAAATATTGCCATCTACAAACCTGACGGAGCCTGTTTAGGAATCCTTACTGATCGATATCTGTCTGATGGATGAGTCCTTGCCTATCAGTCTGTGCTAACAGGCTTTATCGACCAGCCAACAAAATATGTCAATACGTCCTCGGCTGTTTAAAATACGGCCGCAATAAGAGAAGACGGCACTCTGAGACTATGAACTGATGCTCGTGTTTCCCGGAGTTCTTCCTTCATATCTACAGCTCCTCACTAAAGGACCGGAGAGAACCGGGATCCATCTCGGAGGCCCGTGAATCATTTCTCCATCCTCTGTTGGCTTACATAAGCGGAGTCTACCGCCTGGAGACGACTCTGAAGAGACTCATCTGTTATGTTAACCGCCGCCATTATCCAGCCTTCAAAGACCAAACAGTTGCTTATTTGGCGTGCTGAGAGGAGTCTGCTGAGGGGAGTTATTAAGGGCAATCACAGGCTGATTTTGTGCTTCTGAATCTGTCTCTGCCTGCTGCTCTCCCGCCTCAGAAAACGGAAAAAACGGCCATTTTAGTTTGGTACCAGGAAGCGTGGCTCTGCCAGCCTGCAGCCGGTTCGTTCTGCTGATGGGTTTGTGAGATTAAAAGGCCTCCATGTGCACGTTGTGCAGGTTGAGTCCTGGCTAGAAATGCTTAATGTGTTCGGAATATTTCCTCTCCTCATTCAAGCAGTGCTCTAAAAAGGGTTGGTCTTATTTCCGTTTTTTGTGGAAATTCTGAAGCAAAAGTCTGAGTCCGTTTAAGAGAATAAAAGATATAAAATGTATTAAATGGAAAACTTCATGAATTGAGAGCAACATGTCAAGCTGCTCCAAAATAAAACAAAATCACGGTACATTTTATACCCTCTGAGTCTGAGAAGAGGGGTAAAATCTGTCTCCATCATAGAGAAACCTGCTCCTGTACCAAACAATCCTCCAGACAAAACATTCAGAGATAAAGTATAAGGAGACCCTCTCTGAGACCCAGAAGGAGGATAAAAGAACCTTTAAAATATACACTTGTGGAAAGTTACGAGAGAGAATAAAATAGAAAAGAAATAGAATAGAAAAGAAAATTATCATATATATATATATATATATATATATATAGAATTCCCCCACAAGCTTGGCCTGTTGTGGTATTTGTCATCTGTCTGGATACAATAAATTCCCTGAATTCATCTTTGTTTTGACATAATGGTATGCGTTCACCTTATTGTCTTTGCTTAGAGCATTTTTACTCAGTCTCAGTTCAGTTTGCTCTGGTTTCAGCATCTGGAAACAGGTTGTAAGGCTTCCAGGGTATTGAATCATTTTGTAAACTGGTGACATTAAGGCTGGTTAATGATACATGAAGTGTGGTTTGAACCTGAGGTTTAGTCATGTGATGCTTCTGATGTGTTCGTTTTAAATGGCCACGCTAATTCTGTTACCGTTTCCTGTTTGGGTGTAAATTCTGGGTTTATTTGGATTTTATTTTTAGATATTTTTACCATTTAGACACATGAATCTGCCTCAGAAGGCGCTTTGTTTGATGATGGCTTTGAACTAAATGCCATCCTTTAATCTTTGTGTTGCTCTGCTCTTTTTGACATTAAATCACGGTTAAATGATTCCATTTGAGATAATTTAACATAATTATTAGATATTAACGGATATAATGTTCATTGGTAAGACATTTGGAAAAAGAAAGCGTATCTTTCAGTGTATATTCAGTGGTTTATTTTCGGCTGAATCTTTTGATATTGAACATACTGGTGAGGCTGTAACTGGAGAGGAAATAACAGAAATGGACCCAGTTGTAGGTCAAACCGCTGCTCTCTCCAGATGACAGTCACTTCTGATCCGTTCCATTACATGTCAGGTGTTGGTTTTCCTTTTCTAACTGGTTCAGAGCAACTGAAACCTTTTCAGGAGCATCTTAACTGGTTTTTAAGCAAGCTGAGCCCGTTAAAACCCAAAGATGGCTAACAGCTAAAGCTCAGCACACATCACTAGTCTTCACGGTTTCCTAGAAGTCAAGCGTGTGTCAAATCTGTGGGGAAAAAATACAATGCTAGGATTTGCTGAAGGCCAAACAGGATAAATCTGAAGGGACACACACAACAGCTTCACCGTGGGCTGCAGGGAAAAATAAACCTCTCACGTAACGTAAATTGGAATCTGAATGCACTGAACTAATACCAGAGCCATTAAGACCAAGAATTTTGGTTTTGTGTAGAGGTTCAACAACAAAAAAAACGAAAGTTTAAAAAAAGGAAAAAAAACAACATGTTTACTGTTGTGTAATATTTACCTAGCTACATTTTTGTAGATTATTTGGTATATTTTGTATAGTCAAAATATACTATAAAGAGGTAGAAACCCTTTTAAATAACGTGATACAGTGGGTGAAAACATTTCTTAAAAAGCTTATTTACAGGCCAGACTAAGATGGAAAACTGGTGCAAAAGATAAAACAAAATCCAGGCTAATGCTAATTACAATGCTAACTACAAGCATACGTATAAGTGAAAAAAGTATAAGTAAAAGTATAAGTGAGCATAAGTCTCCTTGTTTCTTCTGTCTTCCTGGCAGTAATGACATTAAGGCAGGTGTTGTCATCTGAAAGTTGTTGATAATTTTTTACAATCCTGTCTCGGCTCTAGTTGGAGCACAGAGGTGTTTGTATTTGTTGTATTTGGCTAAATTACACATCCTCACACCTACGAGTGCTGGAACAGGAGCCGTAAATGAGAGTGAGAGCTGCTCAGGGTTCAGTGTTTGGGTTTCAGGGTGGAGTTTGTGAGGTCCACCGGCCCACATCCTGTCATTGGACACCTTTATTTCTACTTCAGCAAACAACGATTTCCATTGTGATGCACCGGGTCACATTTTCCTTTCTAAGTATAGATTATCAGAGGAATAAAACAAAGAAAAGTTAAGTTACAGCATTTTATAAACCAGGTTTTGCTTTTTGTCAGACCTGTAGAGCAGCCATCTTGTTGTATTCAATATCAAATTATTATTATTTGATATTCCAGCCAGACGCTCTGTCAATATAGTGTTTAATGCAACTTTAAGAAGTCCTCTGACATGAAAAAGGGCTTTGTTTGGGTCTTTAGATGAGTTGTCTCAGTCATAAGTCAGAAATAACGTTTTGTTTTAGATGGAATTTTATGTTAAACTATCAAATCTAACTAAAGTCCATCTTTGACAGACTTATAGCAGCAAAATATCTACATTTTCACATCTACCTTTTTGTTTTTCTAATCAGTGAGACTGTTTAAATTTGTATGTCCAAATAATTTTGGACAAAAAATGTCATTTTCTGAGGTGCACCACCCAGCTCTGTGGTTCAGAGATTTACATAAAAATCATATTTGGCTAAACTTTGATTGTGAAGAATAAAAGCTTCAAGAGGAGGAGCTACATTGATTTATGCATACTTCATTTAATCAGTCTTTTATGACATAACAATGACATAACAATAAAGCCCAATTTTAGTTGGATACAATCCATTTTATTTGAATTGAGTCATAACTAATCACCTCAGTTTACTAAATTCCAAATTTTGCAAGGCTGTTCTTGTAAGTATTTCTAAAGCATAATATCCAGAACTCAGACAATTTCTGTTATTAAACATTTCATTGAAATTGATTTAGTCTTGTAGGTGTGAAGCAGGAGTTAAATTTAAGTATTATTACCATCTCATTACTGTCTCTTTTATGATGGAAAACCTTTGTCATTCGATAGTTTTGCACACTGTTATCGTCTTTTTACACCTGTAGCTTTTTGTTTAGCTGCTCTCTTGTAGTGAGCAACATCCCAGTTATCCCCTCAAAACGAGGTTGTTATTGTCAGAAGATTGATTTAGTCTTATAGGTTTGAAGCAGGAGTTAAATTTAAGGATTATTACCATCTCATTACTGTCTCTTGTCTGATAGAAAACCTTTGCCATTCGATAGTTTTATACACTGTTATCGTCTTTTTACACCTGTAGCTTTTTGTTTAGCTGCTCTATTGTAGTGTGAGCAACATCCCAGTTATCGCCTCAAAACGAGGTTGTTATTGTCAGAAGATAGCTGAGTAGTGGTGCTCATTGAGGCCACTTTGTGAGAGGAAAGGGGCTTAATACTTTCTGTATATTAGCGTAACGTGTGTTTGGACCGGTCTGCCATCAGGATTTAGGGGTCATAGTACAAGCTGTCATGCTGCTCATTCCACCAGCCTAAGCTGCTTTGCTCCATCAGTGAGCCTCTTTATCCTCTGACAACAACAGACCACATAAATGGAAAAGTTAGCTATGAGGAGGTGTAAAAGTTAGCTCAAAAGAGTAGGGATGGGACGGTTTCTGAAAACCGTCTGAACCGTTGGGTTCTGTCTGGGTTGGGTTGGCGTGTGTTGGTTGGGTTCCTGCTGCTCCTTTTTCTCAGAGGGAAGCGTTTACACTCCAGAGCAGAAGGGGGCGCTACTGCGCCCAAAGCCAACCACCAGTAGGAAACCAGAAGAAGAAGAAGCAGCGTAGCCCATAAAAATCAGACCCAACAGCAGTTTCTAGGTCTGCTGTATGGACCAGTTTGCATTTAGAGGGAAGCACATGTTGGAATTATCACTGTTTCCTCTCTGGCAGAATCTCACCTACTTTAACCTCAGACTGTCACAATAATGGATCAAACGTCAGACTGCTTTTTATTTTCAGTTTTAACCTGACTATACAAGATATGATAGATTTTCCTAACAATACCATACCATACCAGCTTTATTTATAAAGCACTTTAAAACAACCACAGTTGATACAAAGTGCTGTACAATCCAAAAACACAACAAAATAAAAGTAGTTAAAAAACAAAGACATCAAACAACAAAGACAACAAAACAATCAACATATACCGAACCGAACCGAAAACCGTGACCACGAAACCCTGAATCGAACCAAACCGTGGGTTTTGTGAACCGTCCCACCCCTATAAAGGAGGTGTCAAAGTTTGCTAAAAAGTTAGCTTTTTGGACCCCTCTTTCTTGAGATGTCAGTAGTGAAACTGTGTTGTTGGGATGAGGTCCAGCTCCTCAGTGTTTTACAAATGTATGAAATATATTTGTGAAATATTGTTGTATCCCTTGGTTTAAGAAGAAAAATGAAGCAAAAGTCAAATAAAGTGTCCCCTAAATCTTCCCTCAACCCAAAACTGTAAAGCTCGGTTTCCTAGTTTCTGCTTGCCTGTATAAATCCTTTAACTTTAAAGCTCGTAAAGCTAGTTTATGCTTGTCTGTGTAACTTTCCAGAGAACAAAAATGTCCGACACCAACCGATGGCTTCACTCTGTGCCTTTTTCTCTCTGAGGTTTGTCGCAGGTTATCAAACTGTATTCTTTAAAACCAGCGGGTTTATTGACACTACTGTGCTTATCTGATTGGTTTCAGGTAGATTTACAGAAACGTGGCTCACCTTTTCTTGTTTTTTACACCTTTTGAGATGTTTCCCTGGAATCGGCTCAGCATTTGATGGGTTAATGCAGGGGGGTCAAACTCCAAAACACAGTGGGCCTAAATTCAAAACCTTGAACAAATGAACAAAGATTGAACAAATGAACCTTTTAATATGGAACTAAACGAATTTTACTCTTATTACATTATATATAACTTAATAGTGGAGACATGCTAAATATAATTTCAAATAAAAAACACATTAATAGCATTCATTTATGAAATAAAATTTTAAAACCTTCTGAATTAAATATCTAAATGAAATTAGCTTGTCCAGAAAGCTTCCTTCCTTCCTTTCTTCCTTTCCTCCTTCCTTCCTTCCTTCTTTCCTTCCTTCCTTCCTTCCTTCCTTCCTTCCTTCCTTCCTTCCTTC